CCAACTAATCCCAACAACTTTCACAAGAAAGAAAGATTGATACTAAATTATATATACCTATATAGACTGACATATTATACACATGCTTGAGGTTGATATACTACTATTTTAAGTAGTTTAGCTATTATACTACTAAACTATTTAGAGACGCTACAACGCTGAGTTTGTATCTTCGTCAATTATATCATATCATTATTATATATGTAGTTATTAATATACATATTTTATATTTATAATAAATTATGCTTTATATGTTTTAAATATGTTATAGTTATTTACTTTTTTATTTTACTGCATATTACGCAAGCATATTTGCGCTGATTCTCTACTCAACATGAAAGTTGACTGAGAGAAAATACCATATGGCATTAAATCCTTTGTACCTTATTTTTGTGTTCATTAAAAAGTTAATGAATTAATATCTTACTCTGTTTCTGTAGTTATACAGAGTACGTATCCAAAGTATAATAGGTGTTACAGGATTGAAGTTCTCGATAATCGCGTCGCCATAATCAGCTACAACGAGGTCTTGATAAATACAATTATACAATTAGAGCGACGTAACTGTAAGCTCTTGATCCAGACTAAACTTATTAAGTAAAATATCTTAAGTCATGCATAACTTAGAATATGTACGACGAAGCTAGACGTGTGATACGATGGAGCGCTTATTATATTACATGCGAAGCTGTGAGTTACTTCTTTAGCGCTTACGCTTACTAAATTACGTTTTAGCTAAAAATCGTGGGTTACTCACGTGAATATACTGAGAAAAGCTCTACTAGTTTCCAACCACAGAGGGGATTTTCCTCATGAGCAGCGTGCACGGTCGCGGTGATGTCGCGCAGCCTACTGGCCAGCGTTGGCGCTCGCATCGGTGTTGCTGCTTGCGCATCTAGCTCAACGCGCCCTCTGCCGGATACCACGAGCGTTTGCTTCCAACTCCGGCGGAGGCGAGGTGGACGATGTTGAAGCGCACGGTACGTTCACCAGCGGCAAATTACGTCTTCTGAGTTAACTACCAACCTTTTGTACATATCGTTAAATTGTAGAATTCAATTGTAGCTTTGTTATCTATATTGAAGTATATGAGCAGACTTTGTCCGGTGTATGGCAATAGGCTCACTCCCTATTACATGGGACTCATAACATAAATAGTGAAAAGTGGGTGTTACATTGTACAGTGGTATTAAGTGCCGTAATGTGCACCTCTGCCTACCCCTTCGGGGATAAAAGGCGTGATGTTATGTATGTGTGAGCAGACTTTGATATATATCGTAGTACGCAACTACATAGAGTTACATGATCCCATAGTTTATAATACCTAAAGGAGGTTTGGAACTTAGAAAAAAATCGTAAAACCTGAAGAGGGTAGAGGCCTGGTAGACAAAAAGAGTAGACTTCATCCAGATTAGTTTTTCCTTAAAAATATTCTAAATAGTCCAGCCATAAATCATTTACAACATTTTTAAGCCGCCATTTTGTACCCTGTAGAAAAGGTAAAGGATCGTACAGATTTTGCAACTTTCCAAACACTCTGTATATCAGTTTATTAAAACTTCTCTCACAAAACATTGGAACGAAATCTTTTAATAATCCTCTCGAAATTAATAATGTTTCTAGATTTAATATTTATTTGACAAGCAGTTCATTCATTTTGGTGTTTTCTCAATAACCAATTATTGCACTTCATTTGTCTGTAACTATTGAATTTGAAATGTAGAAAAAGGATTTCATTAGATACTGGGGACGTATGATATACGTAATTAATTCTCGTTATTAGATGATTTGTGAAAGTATTTGATTTACTGGGGTGACTTACTTATTGATTATATCGTGTAAAGGTTTTTAAAGATCAGATGAATGTCGTTGTATTAACCGGGCTTTTTTTGACATGGAGGAACTTACAAAAGGCGAATAGGCGAATTTTTTTTTTTTTTAAAGTATTTTTTTTTTCGGGATAGAAAAAAGTTTACGGGTTACCGAGGCTCCGGGTCGTAATGCAGGAGTAGGAACGGGTAGGTTTTTAGTCAGTAAGAGTCTGACACTCCCGCCTGGGCGAGGAGGGAGAAGTCATTTGATGATTTTCCCCTCTTAACCCTTTTAGTACCGTCATTATAGACACAATTTTAGAACAATCGGTTGCGGTCACCGGTGTCCTCGCGGTGTTTGACAGTTTAATTATCATTTGCCTAGAGGGGTAGAGGATCCGCAAGTCAGTAGCCGGCCTTTAAGGAAATACGATCTGTTCTTAAAGGTTTGTACGTCGGGAGTTGTGTTGGTAATTGTTTACTGTATCTCGTTAGGTACATTAATTTCTTGTGACGTATTTCGTAGAGATATGTTATTGTGACAGGATCACGGAGGGCAATAACACTCCTCTTGTTATTAGTTTAATTTAGTGGAGTGCTCGTCTGACTCCCACGCACTATCAGCTTCCCTTAACTAGTTTGATTTAAAATAATCACTAGGCTAGGCAATATTTCAAGCTTGTTATGTAAAATTTATCGTTTAGGCTATAGACGTTAATTAAATTCGGTCTTATCATTAAAAACTTTTTTTTTCAACATTGCCTTACCCTAGGATTTTCGCCTGTATGTGATGTAGTGGGTGCGTTTACGAACATACAAGTTCACATACACATGACACCCAGACCAGGAACAACAATCTGTGATCACACAAAGAGTTGTTCCGTGTGGGAATTGAAATCGCGACACGTTGCGCGCCAGCCAGTTGCCCAGCCACTGCGCCAACCGTGCAGACAACTGTATGTGGTGGCAATTGAAAGGTTTCTATCGTCTAAAGACAATTATTAACTTTAGGTTCATCAGCTAAAGTGACCTATCGGATCTATTCATTTCATAAAGAACCTAATGTACCTACACTTTCAATGTTTTCTTTGCTGTTTTATTGGTACGGCGCGATGATAACAAAGGCCCAATACGGGCAAATCTCTCCCGACCACAGTGCGACCACTACCAGAGAGGTACCCATTAATAATTCCATCAGCTGGAATCTAATCCTGCCGCCCACTTGAAGCCACGGGAAAGCAGTTCTCCTGAACAAAGGAAAACATCTGCAATCTTATTGTTATTCGATATTGACCCGAAGCACTTCCCGAGGTCACCATAGAAATTGAATAATTCATGGCAGAACGCTTCCAAATTAATTTATAGAGTGGATAATTACACGCCCTCGGGGAAAATTCCATTTGAATAATGTAATTATGACCGTATGCCGTAAGAATAAACCCAAATTGTAATAAATTGTAGGAAATGGGCGAATGTATTAAATGGACGTTTGTTATTAATGTATTTTTTCTGGGCTGTACTTTTATTTCCTAGATTAGGGCATTAATCAAAGAGCCTACAATTACTGCACAAAGGCCGGCCGAGTGTTGAATGCCAATGGAAGGCGAATGAGGTGTGTATTGTGCTGCCACCTACGTACAGTCGCCATGGCGAGCAGTTACTGTTTCCGTGTCGATTGTATTTACCGTTACTAAATGTATACTTACAGTCCCAGTATACAGCGGATACCAAATGAGTCATCATCACCAAAGTAGTAGAATAATCTCCCGTTGTATTTTTGTGTGGTCACCTGATTTCAGAGCAGACGCTCATTAAAATGAACACAAGCCCAGCGTCCTTGAAATACTTGACTTGTAAACTTTGCTTTAAAACCAGTAAAGGCCTAGCCCTTAATAAGACTTAATTGTAGTGTATCACATATAAACTTGTGTTGCTCGGTTTTGTGAGCCCAGTTTAATGGGTCGAGATCAAAGGCCCTCCAGGTTGAAATCCCTTTGTTCAACGGACGCAAACGCGTGCGTTCACGTCGGAGCTAACCACGAACGCGGCGGTTAGCGTTAAGCCGCCACACAAAGCTCGCCACTTACATAATGTGAGGCAAAAAGTTGGACACTAGGCCGTATTTATGGGCAGGTGTATTAATGTTCATAATAGATGATGAGGCGGCGTAAATATGGAGGAAACAAAACCAGATGATAGACGTGCGAGATCAACCTGAGACTCCTCCCTCACACCTCTCTTAGTATTGTTCCGGTAAATTCACAGAGACGCCGCAGCACTCTTAGAACTCAATTAATTCAGATTACTTTTACTACGTGGACAACAGACTCATTTCTAAATCAACTGATTATTTTTACAAACTTACAATAATAAGTTTACATTCAGATCGCTGTTGATAAGTTTAACATTGTTACATAAAAATTAATTTGACTATTTGCAAAAAACAGGTGACGTTTGACATAAAGGGGACACCATGCGAGTTTAATAATGATTCCTTAGGTAATTGAGCAACAATCTAACAAAAACAACAGACACACACCAGTAAAAATATAAAAATATATATTGTAGGTACAAAAACATTACCACAACAAGAGGCCGGCAACAAAGGTCTTTTCTTAAAAATTGTGAGGTATTTTGACGTACAATATAAATTAAGACGCAGCACTTACTGCGTCTGACTAAGAATAAAAAGAAGAGAAGCTTTCTGAAGAATAATTTTAAATCGAGCAATATTTTGTGTAAGTCTTATTTAGAAAACGTCGGAGGTGGCTCGCCATTTTATGACTGATATATTAATGTAATATTACAATCTTAGAAGGCAAAAGAAATTTAAGTAATAAAATCACTTCATTATCTACTAATGGGCTCTTCTGTAGCGACCGTCTATTTAAGAAGGTTTACCGTTTGATTTACAGACTAGGTACTCGCTAGTGTTTCATAATATAATATTAATGTACATACAACTTCATCGTCGCCAAACCAGCCTTTCATCACCTACATTTTCCTAGTAAATTAATTTACGTTCGTCGTCGTACAAAAATTTAATTCCATAATGCAAAATATTCCTTTCAACCGTACGAAAACCCAAAAACGCTATACATGGTGAAAAAAGAAGCGTAATTTTTTCGTGGAACATAATCACGTCATTAACTGTGAGGGCTGGTATTATGTAATTGGCTCTTTGTGTAGGAAAAGGCACTCGCTACGTACTTTGAAGTGTACTTATTTAGGGCTCCGGCATTCTTCGCCGGTGAAGCCGCGGAATTTACATTAGCTGTGGCCAAGGGGCTTTATCAAACAGCTGCTGCCCCTGGATTAACCTCTCCGTAATTTGACGGAATTTCGCCAGTTTACGAGATCTTCTGGTCGGTGTGAAGCTCTGGTAACTTTGAGTTTCATAGTAAGCGGGAGCTGTGGCTCTTGCCTTTATTTGCTTATCAATAGCCCAATATTTTGGTACAAGTACTTCTATTTATTGTGAATTTTACTAAGGCATAGGCATATTATAATATGTCAAACGCAGTTTATCGCTTTATTAGCGACCCTTACTTATTTGACCCTAATATTCTTGTACACACATAGGTAAATATGTACTAGCTACCGTTTATGTAAGCACCGAAAGAGTCGCGCAGTCTAAAAACATTCATAAAAGTTTACTTGTATGACTTCCTACTTTTATGAGGAGATAAGATACTGCTACTAGTCAGTTTTACATGAGTTTGGTCTTTGTACTTCAGAATGAAATGTATAGGATATATATTTAAGCCAATAGTGTAACAAAACAAGCTATCTAACATAGCTTATTTATGGCATGGTAGCATCATATTGTTAGCCTTTTGCAATTTATTTCCCTCTATAATTGCGTGACCAAAGTACCTCCCTTAGTACTACTATTGATCTTCAAAACAATCTTAAAATAAACCCCAACTCCAGCTGATCCCATCCTCATCCCTTACACACGCAATAACAATAAAAACAAAGGGGACATCAGAATCAATGGTGGCCCCTTCAAACTGTGTGTAAAACTATATGTTGTTCCGAATTTCCGAAACGAGAGTCGGTAAATTGAGGCGAGAGATACATGGACTGGTCCAGTGGACACCTTGGATCCTGGCCAGAGGTCCTCCCTCCCTGAGATCGATACCTCCGCCCTCTTGGAAGGCTCTCAGGCTCTATCGCTGAATTATCGCCTCTCCTTCGTTTACACGGCGCGTTAGATAGCCACTTTTGTAAGGTTTATGTGGGGACCATACAAAGTTGTGTGGCGACGCGAGGTTTCTCAATGTGAGGTGTTTTTGTTTTTTGTTTTTGAAGTGTAATGTTATTGTGTTAAATGCAATAGGTATGCATTAAGGTTTAGGTAGTTTTATTTCAAGGAAATAATAAATTATAATACTCTGAATATGACTTTAAAATATAATTTTCCAATAGTTATTTTGTGGTCGAGATGAATCCATTAATGTAAAGGTCATGATTTGAATTACGCGCAATGCAAAGACAATGATTAATCGATTTCATGATTAATTAAAAATTTGTTTGGCGAATAAATCTAAAATTATTTGAACGTTTAATCGATTAAAGCAACCACTGTATTGTATGAAACAATGTATCATACGATTTAAGTTCGGTAATGGTAGGATTTAGTAAACTGGTTTTATTTGCGCGCCATAATATTAAACTCGGCAGCAATTTTCACGCTGTAACGGCGTCAATTCAATGTATCACAATTTCACTAATATAAATCCTTGAAGCGACCTACAACAGTTTAAACATTTTTATAAATGTTCGAACATATTTTTGTGAAAAACTAAGTTGGCTTGAGTTCCAGGGTGAAGACATGCGAAGCGTGCCACTAAAACTCTCTTAGCTTTGTGCATAAACAAGCTTAAATATAAGTGCCGTTAAAGCTCTGGCATCCATATTTAAAGGGGAGGTATTTGTGTGAGCCTGTGTACTGTGTAGTGTGTGTGTTTGTGTACGCCTGTGTATTATGTTACAACACAAATGTCGTAAGTGAGCAGACAAATTGAATGCTTCCAAATCCTCCAAATGGAAATATCCGATTCCTCGACAGGCACCAGGAAGTCAGTCATATTGTTCACTTCCAGTGTTTGTGTTACAGCTATTAATTCATTGTTTACTTCATTCGATATTTAACGCGTTTATGCGTCTCACAATATCATATACGTCGCTGAAAACTTTTATACACAAGAGGCGGTGCGTTCCAATAACAACGAAAACAAATATATCATCGAAGCAAAACAAACTTCAGTATAGATGATCAAACAATACGTAAATATTGCAAAAAAAATGTTCATTTGTTTCAAAACTGTTTCAATTTGTCTAAACTTTTCATACATTTTAATCAAAATGCCATTTTTTGTGGCTTGCAATATATATTTTGTGAAGTACAAATGATTAATTCTGTGCTGACAAAAGCCTTTTATACTTCTACCTATTCAATTGACAGATTGTTTGGATGTCTGAATATTTGATCAATAAAAACTAAAACATAACACTCGTGGTCCCAAAAGTATGCTCTATCCGTTTTCTTACAGAACTTTATGTTATCTCAACTCACTGGGCGGTTCCGGATTCAATTCCGGGATTGTGTTTGTTCTTACAAAAGCTATTCATATTTACTGCTATGTTTGTTTTAAAATTTTATTTGAGAGCACGTAAAAAGTATTTTGAATGCGTATGTTTATTGGCTGTTAGGAACCAGTATTACGGTTCAGTGAAAAGGTTTTAGAGCAGATAAACTATAACAAACAATAGCCATAGAAAGTAACCCAAAATTCTCGGATACACTTTAAATTTCATAGAATATCAAATAAGATATATGACTAGCGTGTCAATAATCACCGTCTTATGAGTACAAGTAAGCAGTAGATAAGTGCAGCAGGAGCGCGCCGTTAATGAAGTTAATAGGAGACAGAGCTAACATTAACAAATCCTCATTGTGTTATTGTTTTTAATGGACAAGTTGAAGTGTTTACGCGAACGTTAGTTGCTCCAAGTTGCATGATTTACGTGCAAAAGTTGGGTAAGAGATTGCGGCAGTGCGTACGCTTTTATCTTCACGACATTATCGTATTACTCAGTTACTCAGTTATAATTCAATTGCCAGTGTTTGGCCAACGACAGTTTTTGTGAATTCGTGGAGGCGACGATGTGTTGGTAAACAATGTGATAGCTTGCTTCCTCAATATATTTGATGTTTCGAGTGTTTGGTGTGACGTCATCAGACGCCATTATGTCATCGTGTTTGCAAACGATTTCCACGTCAAAGTCAAAGTCAAAATGATTTATTTCAATTAGACCAGGAAGGCACTTTTGAACGTCAAAACAAAATTTAAATATTAAATAATAAGAAAAAATCTGTAGGTCAGTCCTCTAGTGAAGCTATTTGCTCGTTCCAAAGTGTAGATTCCTATGGAGGAGAACGAGCAAGAAACTCCATAGGTTACTCTTTTTCAATCATGTTCACGTTCTTGTTAAAGAACATCAAATCTGTTTTAGAAAAATTTACTGTTATTAATAATGTGATTACCTACATGAATAAAAAAATCAATTAACCTTTGACTTCTAAACTTTACTTAGTTTATCTATACACTAACCAATTTTCTTATTACATAACATAACATAACATCACGCCTTTTATCCTCGAAGGGGTAGGCAGAGGTGCACATTATACCACTGTACAATGTAACACCCACTTTTCACTATTTATGTTATGAGTCCCATGTAATAGGGGGTGAGCCTATTGCCATATACCGGGCACAGTTCCAGACTCCGTGCTACTACTGAGATTTTTTAAAAAACCCAGTAATACTTTACCCGACCCGGGAATCGAACCCGAGACCCCTTGCTCGACAGTCGCAATTGCGACCACTCGGCCAACGAGGCAGTCTTCGCAATTGCGACCATTTTCTTATTACACTTTGTTATGAAAGCTTTTGCGTCTAATATATTTTAAGAAAATATAAAAAAAAACGTACATAAAATATACGCATTACACATGATTAACGCTGAAATATCAAGCATCCACTCGGATTTCGGATAAGCAAGTTCCAGCGTCTTAGCGAACATATTCGAATACCCGCGTATCCGGGCCGGTGCGGTAATAAATCTGCCAGTTTATCGGAGCCGGCGTGACGCGGGTGCCGTCGAACGGACGGATAACAAACATAATACTACAATTAATTGTTCACCATTACTATACACAAACAATACTCAATGCGTTTCAATTAATAAATTTTATTTTCTACGTGCCCATTTCGCCACAAAAAGACCATTCGGGTATTTTCGCGCCATAACAATTTTTAAAAGATAAAAATAATGATAAAGATAGTTTATTTGCAAATATGGGTAATACAATTTGTGGTGTTTAGGTACATTGTGAGCTCAACCATATTTTACCAGGAGGCATGCAAATACTAATTAACAGATTATTAAAAAAATTAAATTATATAAAATAAAATCAATATTATGCTATGTACTTATTAAATTGATTACAGAAATTAAAATAGTCGCATTAACAAAATATAGGTACAATGTCAAAAGATTATAGTTAAGAAATGTCATAGTAAAATAGATGAAATGTCCAAGTTATTTAGTATTTAAAATATTATTCTATACCATTGTCCATGAGAAAATCCGCAACATTGTAATATGCTTTGTCAACTACTAATTTTCTCAATTTGTTTTTTAATATTGACATACTAAAATGTCTCCTGGATTTAGGTAATTTATTAAAGATTTTAGGTGCCATGCAATAGACACTTTTGCCCATTAGTGTTGTCTTCGCTCTTTGAAGACATAGTTGACTATCGTCTCGTCTACTTCGTGCTACTACGTCATTCATTTTTTTAAAATAATGTGGATTTGACTTGACAAACATAGCCATTTCCATTATATATTAATACACGGTAATGTTAAAATGTTAAGTTCTTTAAAATACGGGTGTTGTTACCCGTATTTGTAGTGTTTAGTTTATACATTGACCGAATACACCTTTTTTGGGCCTTGAATGCCATATCTTTGTCGGTTGAATTACCCCAAAATATAACCCCATAACGAAGATGGGATTCAGCTAAACCGTATTAAGCGGTAAGAAGCGCTTCCTTTGAAACCTTCAACGACAACGCATGTAAGGCATATGCGGATTTACTTAGTTTCCTGCAAACCTTGACTACATGTGATTTCCAGTTCAGATTTTGATCTATTTCCAAACCCAAAAATTTTGTGCTTGCAACTTTATCCACTACTTTATTATTATAATTCACGTTGAGGTTTTTACTGGGTATTCTTTGGCTAAAATGTTGTTA